ATTAATCAAGTGGAAGTCATGAAATCCGAGGAAACCTTAGAATATCTGGATATTTCCTTTCAAAGAATACTTCTCATCCATAAACAAAAGTTTTCTTTAGTTTTTTTCTTTGTTATCAGTAATTTTGTGTTCATGCTCATTTTTTGTGGACACTTGGGAGTTTTCTGCGACAAAAATTTTGTCTTGACAACTCAAATCTCCAACGACAAAGCGAAAGGCACGTCTCGTGTGCTAGATACTAAAGACTAACATGCTGAAGTAAATTTCGGTACTTATTTAAAGAGGATCAAGTACTGGATCAATTTTCTGAATCTCCTTCAGAAACCACAATATATTTGTTTTATCTAGATCCATCATTTTTTGTTGGTAGAAGGAAAACCAGTAGGGTTATTGTTATGGAAAAAGTGTTTTTTACATAAATTTACACACAAAATATAATTCAAAGTATATGTCTGTTATTTTAATTATTGAATGTCCAATGTAGAAATGATTTTGGTCTTTCCTTGTTTGAATATTCCTACTAAATTGTCATTCTTGAGATACTTTGTCTAGAATTGAGGCGACAGCTTGTTGGAATGAGCACCACTAGACTGTCTTATTGGTGGAGGATTCTTTGCAAACAGGTTGAATTCTACTATTGATAAATTACTGTGTCAAAATGATTTTGTTTAAAATGTAGCGGATGGCTACCTTAGTAAAGTCTAACCGACTCAGAAATCTCTATGGCAGATTCTCCAACATCTAGCTAGACTCCCAGAACTAGCTAAGCTATAGCCCATCTATAAAGGAAACAGACGTGTAGCACGGAGCACGTTTATTCAGGACGTATATTGCAGATAAAGTGTGTACACACAGGGAGCTACTCATGATCAGGATGGGGGATTAGGTTAAACAGAGGTTAATGATTGGTCACTGTTTGTACGGTCGCTGCACACAGAGTTGTACGGCCGCACCTCCCAATCCTGGCGAGCGGACATGCAGGCATACGATGACGCACACAGCGAAACGTGTCCCACAAAAATATACTGCAATAAAATTAACAAGCTCTACTATTCTTTGCGCGTTTCGTTCACTCTGACTTGTCGTTGACTGCGTTTATGCTTATATTAAGGGCTTTGATGAGGTACTTAGACACTTAGGCTTGAAATATCGAACCTACCTTATCCTAGCTATATAAGTTCTTTCGCATTGCATGTTCTAAGGTTTGCGGATTGATTTCTAAAAAAAACAAAAACAGAGAACTCCAACTCCGCACTTGGATATACTCTTGTTATCAAAGGCGATGCTCCACTCGTCCGGTACTGTGATCTTCTGCTTTTCCTTCCGTCTCCTAAGTCCTCTTCTTCTCTCCCACTGTCTCCTATTATTCGTTCCAACCCCCCCCCCCCCCCCCCCCCCACCAACCCCACCATCTCAAAATGCACGTGATTCGCCTCCTTGCCTGCCGAGAAAGGCTATTGTAACTGGTTAGCCTTAATAAGAAATTTCTGAGCCCTATTTGGACTGACTCGCTAAGTTGTTGCAGTGACTGGCTTAACGTTCCACTATGTAAACACTGATATTGAAGCTCTAAATTTTCCAGCCGAAACGTTCAGGGTTGTTGCTTGGTTGAGTACTAGTCAAAATCTGTATTTCCACTACTGTTTGACAAGTAAATCACGTCGATAGTTGAGTAAAATCTACCTCTACGCGCTCTACTTTTTCCTTTAGTTTGAAATAAACTAGTTTCCATGTGGTTCCATGATTGTTTGCAACCAAGAGTTCATATGTAAAAGTCATCAAACTTGGCAAACATTTGAATTGCATTTCCAAAATTATTTTCTTACCTATCTAGCTTGTTCTCTTCTATTTTTGATATAAATTAACAGTCAAATTCCAGAGTCAGAGTTGATTATGGGTTAAAAGATATCAGAAGTTTGTTCTCAGAAATTCTTTCCATAACGTCGGAATAATTCAGAAATCGTGGTTATTCATCAATTACTTTGATTTTTTCAATTTGTCTATATTATGACAATTAGCGCCTAATTATCAAATGTATATTTTTTTAAGAATGAAGGCAATCAAGCGTTTAGTTATATGTCCTCCTCAAAGGTTATCTCTACTCAAACGGCATAAAATTGGGGTGGGACGGAATTGCTATCGACCCCTGAAGTCGGTATGGTCTTATCCACGCATTCACACAAAAAATCGAGCTAGTATAGCCTAGGACTGGCCAAATCTAAGTTAAACAACGCTCTCGATATCTCATTGGCTAGCTGGTAATAGTTGTGGGGATAGGTGAATGGTTGGGTGTTAGCTAATCAGCCAAAAACAATAAAATCTTACATATGTGACGAAAATGGCTTTTTTACGACACAAAGGAAATAAAATTCACTGTATTAACTTTCGTCTTTAGTCACCACGCCTGATGTTCGCGTAGATTTAAATTTCCATGGTTAAATTGGACATAAAAATAGTAAGTATTCTAAAAATGAAAGTGAATTACAAGAACCGATAAAATTTCATTGACTTTGATCCCGTCTAGGCGGCATGATGTCTGCAATAAATGCCAAATTGACTCCTACTCGATTAGAAAATAATCATTTTTTGTAATCTATGGATTAGAATTTAATTTTGTACCACGCTTTTTCACAGGTTGACTTAATTGGAGTGAAAAGTGGGAACCTCTGGCTACCAAAGGTAAACACAACCTAGATCCTTTAAAAGAATGCTAAGGCGGTATTAGCGTTTGAGCATTCTGATCTGCTATGGAAAATTGTTTTTCTGCACAGCATTTTACTCATATTTAATTTTTATCTTCAAGTAAACTTACAGAAACGCATTTATCATAAAAGCCTTCGCAAACAATGCTGTATTCGGATTTCTAAATTAAGTTAATTACAAACTGCCCCATAATTTGTTTTTCGAATACACAAAATAGTTACTGCTATATTCAGAGAGTGTTAAGATGCTTACCCTAAATTCTGTGATGTATCCGAAGTTGTAAGAGAAAAGATCGAATTTATGCGCTAATTCAGTTTCAATAGGTTTTAGGGTCCCTCTGCATAGTGCTACTAATTAGCGGCTTGTCATAAATGGAATAAACTTGTATAGAAACTCTAATTGAAATTAGCGGGTATCAATCACATTTACTTGAGAGGCTATGGTAAACATAAGTTAGATTTTGTTAATCCGTTTAATACATATTTTGGCGATTAAATTAATAAAAAAACCTAGTTCAGGACAAGCAAATCTAGAATAAGAAATATTACAAATAAACGAATTTTGCGAACTGTCTTGCATATATATTGAGGGTGATGGATAATATATGCTCGAGAAATCTGAGAGGACTGTAGAAGAATAAATGTAAAATATCCCAGAGTTTTAGTAAAAATACTCCTTAACCTGAGTTGAGTAATGAAAATTCAAATCTAAAATTTCCATCTTTAAATAAATTAAATTTCGTGTCTAAATAACAGGAAGCCAATATTTGTGATAATACTTAATGAATAGTAAACTAACAAACCACTAAATTTGAGGTTTCATATATGATTCAATAAAATCTATCTTCTGAAAGAAAATTACAGTTTTATAATAATTTATTCATTTTTAACTTTCTGTGAAATAGAATTAAATTTGCAGTGCGCTGTATGGTTTGACATTTGAAAAAGTCATATAAATTGTACCTTAATTTATCACTTTCCGTGACTAAATTAATCTGCCTATCTTTCTTTACCCTTAGTTCAACTATCCAACTCAGATCATGAGCAAGTAACGTGATTCAAGGTGATAATCAAGCCGTAAAATTAGAGTTCAACCACCCCCGAATAGCTTCTACTAAACTTCTTCCCCATTCTTACGCAATCATTTCCTGCTCACACAAGGCCACTCCACTACGCCCACCTCCCCCCTCCGCCCCCCCCCCCCCCCCCCCCCCCCCCCCCC